GTTCAAACCCGCCAGCTTCAGTGTATATGGCTGGTGCTGTAACCATTGTGCTGTGGGTGCCAAGCCTAAATCAATTAAAATTTTAAAAATTAAAAATATACTCAGTCAGACCAGCCACATTTGTAAGTGCTCAGTAGCCACATGGCTACCATATTGGATAGTGTAGCTATAAAATATTTCCCTCATTACAGTAAGTTCTGTCTGACAGAGTTGGGTTAGAATACTGAACTGCTAATGGTGAAACTGTCTATAAAGTTATACTTCCTTAAATAGGAACCTGTTCAAAGAATAGAAAAAAAGAGCCATAGATGCAAATGATAAGCATAGGTGACTGAAATATGTTCAAATAATATGAACCCAATAACATGACTGAATTAAAAATGAAAAAAATGCATAGGCTAATTATCTTCCTTACCAAAGCATTTTTAATTCTTCCTCTACAGGGGTAAAAAGAGCAACAAGTCTCAACTGGCATTAGTCATTTAACTTCAAAATAAAATTTCCTGGGTCAACTTAGGCCTTGTTGCTAAATCCTATAGATCATAGATGTGTCTTGTCATTCTTTTGTGACATTTAAAACTGACTACTTTGTTCTCCTTAAAAAGCAGTCTTCTCTTAACTTTTCTGATGTCACATTCAACTTCCTTTCTATTATTCTGGCCACTTCTTAGTCTCCTTTTGGTTTCTTCCTTTGGCTGTCTCCAGCCAGGCCCTTTTTTCTCCTGAGCCAGGAAATTTCATACACTTTTATAAATTCAAATAAACTTCTGGGAGCTGAGTGCAGTGACTCACCTACACAAGGCAAGAGGATCCCCTCAGCTCAGGAGTTCTAGACCAGCTTGAGCAAGAGCAAGACCCTGTCTCTATAAAAAGTAGAAAACTTAGCTGGGCTTGATGGCATGTGCCTGTAGTCCTAGCTATTTAGGAGGCTGAGACAGAAGGATTACTTGAGCTCAGGAGTTCAAGACCAGCCTGAGCAAGAGCAAGACTCTATCTCTATAAAAAGCAGTAAAATTAGCCAGACATAGCATGTGCCTGTAGTCCCAGCTACTCTGGAGACTGAGAAAGAATCACTTGAGCCTAGGAGTTTGAGGCTGCAGTGAGTTATGATGACACCAGTACACTCTAGCTAGGGTGACAGAACAAGTTGCTGTCTCAAAAAAAGAAAATTCAGCTAGTCATGGATATTGAAGACCATGATGAGATGTCACAATATACCTATTAGAGTATCTAAAAAACAGTGATAACAGGAAAAGCTAGTGAAGATGTGTAGAGACTAGATCTCTCATACATTGCTCCAGGTGTGTAAAATGGCATAGCCATTCTGAAGAACATTTGGCAGTTTATTTTAAAAATTCAATGTACACTCACTATACAACTGAGCAATCACACTCCTGGGCATTTATCTCAGACAAATGAACATAAGTCCATACAAAAACCTGCACCCATATACACAGCAGCTTTATTTGAAATAGCCAAAAATTAGAAATAAGCAAAATGTCTTACAAGTGAATGGTTAAACGCTTGTACATGTATTATGGAATCCTATTCAGCAATAAAAAGAAACAGACCATTGATAAAAGCATTATGATGAGTGGGGGAAGATGTCAAATTGAAAAGATCATATGCCAGGTGGCACCCATAGCTCAATAGGTAGGGCGCCAGCCATATACACCGAAACTGGTGGGTTCGAACCTGGCCTGGGCCAGCTAAAACAACCTCAACAACAACAAAAATAGCCGAGCATTGTGGCGGGCACCTGTGGTCCCAGCTACTTGGGAGGCCGAGGCAAGAGAACCACTTAAGCCTAAGAGTTTGAGGTGGTTGTGAGCTATGACACCATGGCACTCTACCCAGGGCAACAGCTTGAGACTGTCTCAAAAAAAAAAAAAATCATATGCCACATGATTCCATTTATATAGCATTCTCAAAATGAAAAAATTACAGAGATGGAAAAGGGTTAGTGGTTGCCAAGGATCTGTGGTAGTAGAGTAGAGGTGCATGGATGTGACTATAGAGAGGCAGCAAGAGGGAGATCTTTGTAGTGATGAAATAGTTCTGCATCTTGATTGTGGTGGTTATGTGAATCTACACATAATAAAATGGCATACAACTACATACATTGTACCAAGGTCAACATCCTGATTTGATTCACAATGTTTCAACAAGACATAATGATTAGAAGAAACTAGGTGGAGGGTACACAGGACCTCTCTGTACTATCTTTGCAACTTCCTGTTAAGCTATAATTATTTCAAAATAAAAAGTTGAAATTAAGAAATGAACTTCTAGGTTATTGGTGGTAACGGTGGGTGGGGTTTCCTCAGGAACTGTGAACACTGTTCTCTGCCCTAGCAGTCCAAATGAAGCTAAGGTGAATTTACTGGGATGCACAGTGCTATACACTGAATGTTTGAGTCTCCTAAAATTGTTATGTAAGACCTAATGCCCAATAAGATGGTCTTAGGAGGTGGGGCCTTTGGGAAGTGATTAGGTCACGAAGGTGGAGCCCTCATGACTGGCATTAGAGCCCTTATTAAAGAAGCCCCAGAGAACTAGCTTCTTCCACCACATGAGGACACAGAGACAAAGCACCTTCTGTGAAGAACAGGCCCTCACCAGACACTGAATCTGCTGCACCTTGATCGTAGACTTCCCAGCCTCCAGAATTATGAGCAATAAATTTCTGTTGTTCATAAGCCACCCAGTCTGGGGTATTTTGTTATAAGACCTCAAGTGAACTAAGACACACAGAGAGCCAAGCTTTGCTGTGCCTAGCTGGCAGCTGGATGGCCTACTCAGCTGGGGAAATCCAGAAATTAATCTGGAGGGTTATCACCATGCTGCCAGCTGTTTGTCCTTATCTTTTCTCATCTGGTTTTTCTCCCTCCAATCCCAGTGTCCACATATGCAGAGACCTGTCCTGTCAGCTCCACTCAGTGCAGAGCACCACATCCCTGCTACTACTGTTCAGCCCCACTGCCTACTGTCTGTGGCCAATCTGGCCGCTGCTCACTCCTGCTGGAGTTAGAGGTCTCTTTGCCTTTGCTGGAAAAACAGATCTGTTCACCTTTTCAGGCATCTCATTTAGCTATGTTGACTGCCTTTGTCATAGGTATGGTTTCTCTAATAGGAAAATTTCTTAGTTTCTGGTGTACTGATGACATTTTCCTTCATTTCCCTGGTATGGATTTAGGGAATAGGAAAGATAAATACAATTCTTAGCCTATTCTACATTCAAATAATATTCAGCAAGTTCACTAATGGCTTCTATATTGCTAAAACAGTGGAAATATTTCAGTTCTTTTTTTTTTTTTTGAGACGGAGCCTCAAGCTATCCCCCTGGGTAGAGTGCCATGGCATCACACTCACAGCAACCTCCAACTCCTGGGCTCAAGCGAGTCTCCTGCCTCAGCCTCCCAAGTAGCTGGGACCACAGGCGCCCGCCACAACACCTGGCCATTTTTTTTTTTTTTGGTTGCAGCCATCATTGTTGTTTGGCGGGCCAGGGCTGGGGATTCAAACCTGCCACTTTAGGTGTATGTGGCTGGCGCCTTAGCTGCTTGAGCCACAGGCGCCGAGCCTTCAGTTCTTGTTTTAAAGGATTCTCTACTACATTTGACATAGCTGATGATATTAGCTTTCTGAGGCCACTGCAACAAATTACGACAGATCCGGTGGCTTAAAATAAGAGAAATTTATTCTCTCATCATTGTGGAGGCCAGGAGTCCAAAGTCAGTTTCATTTGGCCAAAGCCAAGGTGTCAGCAGAGCTGTGCTCCCTCTGGAGTTTCTAGAGAAGAATCTGTTCTTTGCCTCGTCCCACTTCTGGTGGCTGTGGGCATTCCTTGGCTGGTGGCCGCACCACTCCAATCTCTGCTTCTGTGGTCACACTGCCACCTCCTCTAATGTGTGTATCAAATATCCTTCTGCCTCTCTAAGGACATTTGTGATGCCATTTAGGGTCCACTTTGGTAATCCAGGATGATCTTTCTATCTCAATATCCTTAACATAATCATATATGCAAAAACTTTCTATCTCAATATCCTTAACATAATCATATATGCAAAGATCTTTCTATCTCAATATCCTTAACATAATCATATATGCAAAAACTTTCCCATGTTATAAGGACCGGACATCTTTGGGTGGCCATTATTCAGCCTGCTACACTGACCATTGTCATTCTTTCTTGGAACTCCCTTCCCCCCATGAATTCTGACACTGTTCTGTACTCCCTTTTTGTAACTGACAATTGCATCTTGGTTTCCTCTGTGGGCCTTCCTTTTCTGTTCAGCCCACATTTCCCTAGAGGCTATCCTTGGCTTACCATTCTTTTCTCTTTAGGACAATTTCATGGACTCCTGTCATTCATAACTGCCCTATCTCTACTTACATCATCTCTTCCCTAATTATCACTCAGTCTGTGAGTGGTCAACTGCCTGCCAAAAATATCTGGATGTTCAAAAGCTATCTCATACTTCATGGTCTTCCAAAATGGAATTCATGTTCTCCCTCTCTGCCACAAGCAGAAGAGTAACTAAGTTCTCCCACTGCAAAGCAAACATGTACAAAAAGAGATCCACTTAACTGATAAGGGAGGACCGAAGTGTAGAGGGGCCCTGAAGTCTAAAAGGGATCACCCTTTTACTGCCTTCTCCATGTGTCTCTCACATGGACTCACCATCATGTTTTAGTTGTACTGTCTCATGTTAGTAAGCATCACTAAGAGATACATATTTTTTGCGAAGCCCAGAGCAAAGTGAAAATGAAAGGCCCCTTAATCAAAAATAAGAATTTCCAGAGTCGCAACGGCTGAGCAATAAGCAAACCACAGGATCCTTCTGAAGGCCAGACCTTGTGTGACTGCACAGGTAACGTATCCTTGCCTACAAGTCATTTCTTCTTTCTCTTCCCACTGCCTGGATGCAACCACCCACCAAGACCTGCCCTATTCCTCCTCAAATGTCTCCTGATTCTATTCTCTTTTCTCTCCCTTTTCCACCATTGCCTTAATGCAAGCCCTCATTCCCTCCATCTGTTCTTCCTGGTTTAAGGGTTTAGATCTTACAGCTAGAATGAACCATCTAAAACACAAATCTGGTCATGTCACTGCCCAGGTTAAAATGTTCCAGTCTCTCCTGAGGTCTCTCCTCACCTCACTAAGTCCCAGGTACTTACTACAGTGCACCATGGTGAACTCAGTGTGATGATAATATCAAACCTCATTTATAGCATGTGCAGAAAAAAAAGGAAAAAAAAATCAGATCCCTTCTAGGGCTTGCATACGCCATAGTACAACACAGCTCTGTGCCCCTGCTGTTGCTGCTACTCCCACTCTTTACATGGACAATGTATCCTTTGTGCCTCAAGGTTCAACCAGTTATAGACAAATATAGGTACATATATATGCCTACATAAACATTTGTTTTATGTTGTAACAGTGCCTGGGCATGTAGTTAGAAGAGTATATATTAGTTATTGTTATTATACCAGGGAACCTTGGATTACCAAATTAGACTGAATACACTTTTTTCATGTTTCCATAGCATATTGCAACATATCTTACTACATTCTAGAGAAAACATGTCCTCATCTGTCTTCTTCAACAACTAAATTGTAAGTTCTTTGAGACAGGGACCATGTCTTATTCACCTTTTCATCCTAGTGACAAAGTGGTATAGTGTCCTACACATAGTAGGCATTCAAAAAAAAAGAATTGTGTATTCAACTGATCTCCAGTATACCTCCCAACCATTTTTTGAAGTCCTAGAGGCATTTCACCAAAAGTATTTTCATCAGATGAGACTCCATCCCTAGGGGGGAAAAAAGTGTTTTTAGCTGCCGTGTGAGGCCAGAATGTTTTCTCTCTCATACCTCTAGTATATAACCCCTTAGGCTTCCCCTTTCTTCCCTATGGGTAAACCATTACTGGTGTGTTTCTACAATGATGTCCCTAAATCTTTCTACCTTGGGCCTGAGCCCCACCTGAGCCTCCTCATTCCATACCTTAGTGTACCATTCTGCCAGGGTTCAAAATGGCTAGTTCTTTCTAGGAAATTGGATTGGGACAAGTTATTAAAGAGGCCACATCAAAATTTATAAATCTAATTTAAAAATTTGTGAATGATAGACAGGGTGTCTCCAACCTAATCTGGTCTCTTCTCACCTCTTCTGCTGAAAAGAGTTGGTTTGATTAGAAATAGAGGTTCAGGCTCGGCGCCTGTGGCTCAAGTGGCTAAGCCGCCAGCCATGTACACCCAAGGTGGAGGGTTCAAATCCAGCCCCGGCCCACCAAACAACAATAATGGCTGCAACCAAAAAATAGC